ATATATATATATATATATATATATATATATATATATATTGTAATATCCATGGATCTGTGCAATGAGAATCAGATCGTGATAATATCACGATAATGAGACCGATTCATATTTGAACACAAACCATAAATAATTCTGGTCATAAGTTACTCGAGAGGAACATTGAGATAATCAGACAGATTGATGTACTATATACCCATCCATATGATAGAGGCAGTTGGTTTCACAGTTGTTCATATGGAGACACTAGAGATATAGTGCAGATGCTCATTGGAAAATGAGTTCACTAATTGATCCGCTCATAGAATGTTAGATGGTTGATGATGCCTTATTGTCAAACAATGATTCCGTCGTCTCAGTAGTGTATGTAGTCTTTAGACTTGAGACACCAAGGATGTCATGTATGAGTACTCTACTCTTTGATACTAGACTTATAGGCCTGAAAGTTTTAGATCTAGCATAACCGGTCATCGGAAGTGGCGACCAATTTTACGAGGACTATTGAGTGTTGATAGAGGATTATCCACTCTCGATGTCATGAGAGGAATATCTCATGTATTCTTGCTTAGATAAATCCTTGGTCAGGGTCATTTGAATTGAGAGAGAAAGAGTACTCCGAGAGAATTCGATTAGAGCGAGACTCGACTAGAAACTGTATGGGCCTAATAGTACCATGCTCGGTATATGGTCTTTGAGGTATTAGATGGATGGGAGATTATAGATATATGGTAATTGAGGATAGATAAGTCTAATAGATTGGATGACCTTGTATCATTTAGGGGCTACGACGTAGTGGACTAGTACGTCCACAATCGATAAGTCGAGTGAATTATTATGAAAAAAATAATTTACTAAGCCAAAAAGAGTTATGATAAGTATGACTTATGGCTAGTTCGATATTCGCCTAGAGGGTCACACACATATGACAAGCGTTGCGACAAGTGGAGGTTCAAATATAAGATATCCGTCTGAACTTCTATCTTATTGGATATACAATAAGCTCATGAATTATTGGATCCTATGGATGGGATCTAATATGAGCCAATAATATATTATTGGATAGAGATCTACTAATCTAAGAGACTTGGGCAGTTGGATGGAGATCAAATACCCAATAAGGTAGGATCAATTATGGTTAAGTTGATAGGGGGCATCTATAAATTAGAGGAAACCAAACACATATATGGCAAAGGTTTCTTGGTTGTCACATTCTATTCTCCTCTCCCCTTCTTCTTATAGCAGGTGTGAAGATTTGAGCAGTAATTTGAGGAGCATCGTCGTAATCCTACTGTGTAAACTTGCAAAAGCATGATTCATAATGATACTTGGGGTCACAATATATGACTGTTAACACACAACTACTTGCAAGTAAAATCTGAGACAAAGGCCACAAATTTCTTCTTTTAAGAGAAAGAAATAAATTATAATATTTCATCGTTGCAAGGTACAAAGAGTTCCTTTTCTTTCTTTCTTTTCAACTCAAGTTTGGGGTGATCCAGAACTGGCTATAAGTATATTGTTGTCGTCCGTGTTTGACAAGTTTGGGAAATCTTTCGATGCTATGGCTATCCATGTTGTAGGAAATGAATTCAACATGTGAAGATAGTTGCCAGAAATGAGTGAAATAGATACAGTTAGCACAACATCTAGCTTCACTAGCCAAGACCGAAAATGCATGCTTAAAAGGAATGTTCATGAACAGTGCTCGATCTCCCAAGCTCTCCAACTTGATCCACATCTTTTTCTCTAGATCTAGTTGAAATAAGATGACGACCAGGGATTCATCGGCATGCTCCATTACGTAGACCAACAATATGTTTCCGCCACACTCAACCAATGACGTGATACTATTAAAATAGTCTGAACGATCGATGGGACATGGCAACATTAGCTTCCTGAGCCGAAGAGGAAGAACTCGGAAGATCGTTAAGCACCCAATATGGTTATTCCATGTGTAGAATTGCCCCTCGAAGCTAATAATCGTATCGAAAAGTTCGACCCTGTCTTTCTCGAAGGTCCAGAGCTGGTCTCCCGGCCTCCAAACATACAGTTGATTGATGAAGTCACGTGCAAGAAGGACACAATCTGGGTTCGACGGAGCTGATGACATGCATAGGAAAAAGTTGGGTTCAAGCAAACAAGGTGGGAGTTGCAACCACGCCCTAGAGAAGGGATTCAGCAAGAGCATCCGGCTGTGGTTGGAAGGATTAACAACCAGCCAACCGTGCGAGCAATTACAGAATAAGGTCCTTGTCACTGGGTAGCCATGTAACTCGATTTTGAAGGTGACTTCCTTGTCTACGACGCTCCGCAGGCTGCAGGTAAGATTCTGGTACTCTGTGGTGATTAGCCATGGGGTCTTCGACATCGTCGGGTCAAATTTCGGGGCGGTGGCCCTCCAATCCTTGCATGCTACACTAAGGCGCATGGCATCCTTGGGGTTCATCGACGTCAATAGAGACTCCACAATATCGATTGGAATGTACCTGGTTGGCCTAGTCTCACTTTCGATCTCCCTCTTCTGCTTCTTATCGGTTGTGACTGCAGATCTACGGTGGAAGAAAAGCATAGAGAGAAGTAATTTGTATAGTGACTGCAGATCTACATTGTTTAATCGATGTAGAGGAGGATGCTTACTTGTGTGGATTGGGAGGAGGAGGAGCATTAGAATCGGGGTCCAATTCGTATGCATTGTTCGTCATCTTTGTCACCGCTTAGTCATTAACCGCTGGAAGGAAATTGTATTAGAGGAATAATAAATTTCACTGATCGCTTATATACGATCGTGCGGTTGTTTGTATTGAATGTATAAAATATAAATAGTATATTTCTTAACATTTATAAAATGTTTTATAATTCATACAAAACATAATAATTTGTTATTTGATTTATGGAAAGAAGTATGCAATCCATTATAGAAATCTGAAATTTAATACTTTGCATATCATACATGATTCTCAATAATCATAAAACTCC